TCACTTCAGTCGTTTTTATTCATAATTTTGAAACCAAGACGCTCTCAACTAAAAAAGCGGACATAGCAAATACTGTCAATTTAGGAACATTATCACAAATTTCATGTCTAAGTGATACTATAACATGCTTTTGATTAATATGTAAAATATGACATTTTTGAAGAAAATAGTATGAATAAATATAATTATCATCAATGAACATGGATGGTACCCCAAATTATAGAAAGACTCTACCACTGGAAACGATGGAGTCGACTTTATTCTAAGACACTTTATTCTAAGACAGCCCCAGAACTGGTGACAAAGGGATACAGCAGTGATTAAACCATCAAAAACGTAGTTTATCCAATTTTGAGAAGCTACAGATTATAGTGATATGACAAAAATTCAGCTTATTTATTTCACATAATGTGGAGTTTGCCTGTTCTCCCCGTGTCTGCGTGGGTTTCCTCCGGGTACTCCGGTTTCCTCCCACAGTCCAAAAACATGCAGTCAGGCTGATTGGACACGCTAAATTGCCCCTAGGTGTGAGTGTGTGTGACTGTGTATGTCTGTCTGTCTGCCCTGCGATGGACTGGCGACCTGTCCAGGGTGTATCCTGCCTTCTGCCCAATGACAGCTGGGATAGGCTCCAGCACCCCACCGCGACCCAGAAGGATAAGCGGTTTAGATGATGGATGGATGTATGTAGGTATGTATTTCACGTAATAAGGGGTAGAGTGATGTGCTGAGAAAATCATTACTGTAGTCAGAACTCTTTGAAAAGAAACCGATTCTGAATTATTTAATTCTTTGAAAAAGAAAAAGCTGGATGTTATCTTGTACCTCTTTTTAAGAAGCTGAAGTTGGCTTCCTATTCGCCAGCTTCTCATTCGACTTTTCCGGTCCACCTTAAATGACGCAGCAGTCACCTAAATGCTGCGCCGGCGCCTGAACGTAACTGCAGCGCCATTTAAGGTGGAACGGTAATTTGAACAAGACTCAGCTTCAACCTCTTTTTTACAACGCTCTGCGAAAAATATTACTTGGCTTTAGTTTTCGTTTTCGTTGTACCTTTTCTAATAATTGTTTGTTGCAACCCAAATCATGGAGAAAATGAAGAGCGGACGGAACAAAAATGTGTGAGATCTGAGCCGATTACAAGTAAAAAACACGGAATCGACTCCAAGCATTTCGACTCTTGGCCAAGAGTCGAACTTCTACTCCCAGACGTGATGGAGTCGAAGAATCGATTCTTTTGGACACTAACGTTATACAACAAATAATAACGAAAAACAGAGCTACTTATATCAACGTTTAAACGGTTCAATTACTAAATGTAAGACATACCCTCAACATGCTGACCATAAACGTAATAAGTATGAAATAAAGAGTTGTCTGTATTTGTACAATGCGTGTAGTATTTTAAGTCGGGATTAACTAAAGAGACGGAGCAAATACATTCAGCCGTTAGCTTGCTGGCTAACTAACCCACCTATTTTCAGCAGCTTCTGAGTGAGTGTTGTCGGAAACACAGCGTCTCCTATCAGGAGAACGATTTTCTCCACCAAAGCGACCAGTTAGGTCTGGTATTTTTGTTTTAATTCACCGAAATTTCTTGAACGTTTGGGTGTTTTTCCTGTATTTCGCTACTGTCTCTTCAGGCGCTGGGAGAGTTCAACTGAAGCAGCCTAACGGTTAAAGCCATTTAAATTCAAAGTAAATGTCTCGCGCTATTTATGATTGGCTCTTGAATGTAATGGGTATAGAGGATAAGTAGACTGAAAAAATAATCACAATTTTTCTAACAATATTTGAAAACCTCTTGATTTATTTTCTGAGAAAGAGTTCTTATGAACCTCTCAGTGCGGAATGAAAGAATTATTGAGTAAATGAATGAATTATTTAATGATTAAAATACATATAACGGCGCCAGAGCCATTATTCACACCACTGAGGATAAAACACAGTAAAGCTCATTTTCATTGTAGTCTTAAAGTTGTGGTCATTCAACTCTTCGTCTTAAAGGGGCCATATTATTAAAAAAAATAAAAAATAAAAATAAAAAAAATTACACTTTCCTTTGCTTTTTTAAGGTTGAAGCAATGTGTAAACACTGTCAAAGTCAAAACCTACCATTCACTACCCACTACCCATTCACGGTGCAGCTGGGATGTCCCACGCATGCCCAATTTTAAAGGGGTGAAATTTGATTGGCCATCCTAGATAGTTTTACACGTCTGCTATGTAATTGCCTTCTGTGACTCGCCAAACTCAGAGCTCCCTCAGTAACAGTAACAGTGCCTGAATCAACACAGTAGTGTAATAGTCACAGTAATGTCATAACGGCACCTTCTTTTTTCCTTTTTCTTTTTGCAACCTGAAGACGAGTTTGTTGTTAGCTTGATTTGACTCAATTCCTTAATCCTCAAGTTCATGACAAGACTATGAACTGTTTTTGGTGATGGTTGAATTATAAAGAAAGGAAAATGAAACAACTCAAAAGTACCTCACACAAAGCAATGCGTTTTCTGACTTGTTTGGCAGCATTTGGTAAGTTGAATGAACCCACTTTACTAGCCTAATGCTAGTCTATATGCCAGTTTGCGACACCTGTCACATAATGCTGACATAAACATCTGCACAACGATGTTTTGACCCAGGCTATTTGGGGTAATTTGGGGAAATTACACAGATTCTTTGTCACACACATGTTACATTACTGGACCTCCTCTGGTAAAACTAATCCAGCTCGAATAGAGCTTAAAAGGCACAGTATAAAACACTGCCTGTTTAATTCTAATTGATAAAGAGAGGCTGGAAAATGGTAGAAATGATTTTTGGTACATAAAAACATACAAATCTTATAAATGGACCTCAAGGGAAAATAAAATGTATGAAAAAGTAGCATGCGGGCCCTTAACACCCTTAGTTCTTCATGAAGCTTTCACGAATTCAGCCTAGAAAGGCAACCAGGGTGCACCTCGTAGCTGTTAGGCCTACTTCATTACGTCTCATTCACATTCCACTTCACAGTATTCTGCTGAGTTTAGCTCCTGGACTGCTTTACTGTTGCTCACACCACTCAGTTTGGAGACCTAACATTTTATTATAGACCAATGGAGCCTAACAAACTTAAGTTCCAGTGCTGATGTGCTGGATGAAAAAAGTTCCACTGTAGTTCCTCAAGTTGCTGAAGTAGTTTTGGGACCTAAACTTTTTTACTCAAGTTGTTTTAGTAGCTACTTGTACTTCTACTTGAATACTTATTCCATTAATGCAAGTTCATTCATTGGCTTCAGGCTCCGTCTTTGGTACTGTAATTCTTAACCATAAGGATACCATAAAAAAGTGCTATAACACAAAGATATAAAACATGGTTGTACAGTCATGGAGCAATATTTATTCATGATTGACAAATCAAGTTTGAATTTTTAATACTTTTAAACACTTCCTCACTCTCTTTGTCACGCTTCCTTACAGCCATGACTCTCAGAACTCCAGTTCCTAGAACTCTCTGGGTGAGCATGTGACGTCAAGGTCAACTGGTTTCACCTATCAGAGATCAGCTTCCCCTGCCTATTAATGGCCACCTAGTTCCACCTATCAGAGATCAGCTTCCCCTGCCTATTAATGGCCACCTGGTTCCACCTATCAGAGATCAGCTTCCCCTGCCTTTTAATGGCCACCTGGTTCCACCTATCAGAGATCAGCCTCCCCCTGACTATTAATGTTCTTCAACTGTTTTATGTATCATGTGATTAGATCCAGTTAGTCTATATGCTCAGGCGTTAGGCTAGGTTAGTTGCCAGGTATTGCTTTTTTCATAGAGCTACTGAGCATTTTTGTCTGTGTTCTGATCTTCTTTTGTGTATCTGACCCACTGTTTTTATTTTCGACGCCACCTTTTGCTTGAGCCCTTTTTTGGACTATGGTTGACTGGATTTATCTTGGTTATGTTTGTAAATTGTTGGCTCATTTTAGCTTTGACCTTTGCCTGTTTTTTGACCTTGATTAGACAAACTAGTACAGCCTCTTTTTCAAATATTAACCGCACGCGTCTACATTCTTAACAACTTAGTAGTGCTACTGTGTTGATTTATACCAAGGTACTTAAAAATGATGCCAGTGCAGGTATATTTGCATTCGTCTGCCCTCTCGATTGGTCTACTGATTTGTGTGTGACAGGTCTTCTGAACACGTAGACATGTCAGTGCAATCCTCTCTGGCAATAACGTTACTATACTGAGTGCAAAATGCTCTGCCATGTTTGAGGTAGATCACAGCTCACACAGTGGGCGTGGCTATGTGTTCAGAAGACCCGTCACTCCAAATCAGTTGACCAATAGAGAGGGCAGGTGAACGCCCACTTCTAAGACCCGCCCCCTGTTAAAAAGTGCCAAATGTCAGAAGCAAAAGTGCGATTCCAGAAGCAAAAAATATAGCAGCAAAATCAGCAAATAGAAAAAAATTAAAGCAAAAACTGTCAAAATGAGTAATACATTTTTGTCAGACTGAGTGAAAATAAGTAGTAATGTTTTTGAAAAGTTAAGTTTGAATTAACTTTCATTATTTGTATTTGCTAAATATTTTGGACATTTTTGCTTGTGGATTTTATTATTTTATTTGAAACTTTTGACACAAAATTAACTCCATAGCTACGTGACGTGATACGGTTTCACAATGCTGTGCTCCACCGCAGTTTTAAATTATACACAGAAGCGCAATGACGGACTCTGATGAGAGTCTTCTGAATGGAATCAACCCCCAGCCAGAAAACATCCCCTTTCTTCACAGATCTAAGTTAAAACACATTATACAAAAGCTGCGATTTTCTCCCAGTTATCACAGATGCTGCATCCTGGTCAGTGGTTGACCATTACAAAGAGCATAGTGAACCATACTAACTGAGAAAAAACTGAATAGAAAAAACTGAACTGAAGAACTGAATATTAAACCATTCATTTTTCATGGATTGGTTTCCACTAAAACCCACACTAAAAAAGCATCATGACCCTCACCTCCTGTATCAGGGTCATGATAGTTGGGATCAAGCCCTTTGTCCAGAAACTTGGCGACCTTCTCTACAGCTCCAGTTTGGATGTAGTCCATGAACTTCTTCAGACTGGCCTGTAGGGGGAGACAGAGACAGCACAGCGTCAGACCATCAGTCCGCCAATGCTCTGAGGAATAACTGTTGGACGTTTTACCTTATTCAAGCATGCAAACACACACCCAGCCATTGAGGCGTATATGCACAGACACACACAGAGTGTGAAACAGCACACAATTAAGGGTTCTGTGCACAAATTCCCTCTCGCGAACACACAAGGGACCAAATCTAAACACACAGACACAGACGAAGAACACAACCCATTTGACTCTTTCCAATTAAAATCGAATGGCTCTAGGCCAAGTACCTTGGTGTGCAGCTTGGCAAGTTGTTTCTCGTCGAGGTTTGTCTGCTTGTATACTCTGGTTTTGTAGCGAAACTGTTTCAGAGGGAGAAAGAAAGAGACACAATGAGTACAAGAGAGACAGACCCATAACAGGATGCCAAGAACACGGCAGTGATTCGTCCCAAAATCACATTTTATGTCCTTGCAAGCAAACTGGATCCAAGGCAGAGGATGAAATAACTCGACTGAGGCCTCTGGCAACGTACAGACCAGGGTCTGACTTTTCCAACAGCACTGGAGCAGGAAGATCAGTGTAGAACAGTTATCACTTTGAACACTTTGTCTACCTGTTAATGTGATATTAACAGAACAATGCTTTGGGAAACTGGGCCAGGAACCTTAATTAGCACAATGCAAATGTGGCCAGGTCCTTATCACAGTTACCTTTTAAGTGCAAACCTGCACAAATTAAGATCTCAAACCATTTTTCATCAGTTTTGAAATAAACGGTGCGGCCCTATGATATGCCAATAACAATTTGCCTTCGAAAAAGCCTTTTATGACTCACGATGGTGCAGAACCGAGATATCACCAAGGTAACGAAAGATCTGAGGAACTGCTTCCTACCACGCACATTCACGACAAATTATGTGATAGCCCGAATGTGGACCGTCTCAGTCACCTTTATCAGAGATTTTCATTAGACAGCTTGGGGTTTGATTCCTGGTTCTGATTTAAGCCTTTTGACTTCTTTACAGTACAAACTAAAGTGTAATGGGAAGGATATTTGTGTATAGATGATGTCATTCCTAGAGAATGGTGCATAACCGCCCTAGACATAACCTACTGCTACCTATAACTACCCTACATATAACCTTCCCCATACTCCTAACTAAAACCTCCCCCAACCCTAACTATTCTACATATAATCTACCCTACACCTCCTCCTAACCTTAACTACCTACACATCAACTACCCTACACCTACCCCTAACCTTAACTACCCTACACATAACCTACTCTACACCTACCCCTAACCTTAACCACCCTACACGTAACCTACCCTACACCTACCCCCAACCTAACTACCCTACACATAACCTACACTACCCTACACATAACCTACTCTACACCAACGCCTATCCTTTAATAACCTTTCCCTAAACAATCATGTCGTTCAGACCTTCGTTTGTGTCTGCATCAAGTTGTCATTACTTATTTTTGTGAGTGCTACCTCCAAGTATGGCACCCCTTTCTCAAAGGATTGTGGGTAATCTCGGAGTGGCCTCTCCTCCTCCAGGAACTTGGCGTCATGTCCATCAGTGGCCGGCTGGAAGAGACCGTAGTTTAGGACATCTCGTAGAGACTCGGTCAGACTGCACAGCACCTGCTGCTTCGCCTTCCATACCGTGGCTTCAGGGTTAAACCGCAAGCACTTCTGCAGAGAGAGAGAGAGAGAGAGAGAGAGAGAGAGAAAGAGAAAGATGTAAATACCCTTCACGGAGATCACACAAACCTAGGATTCACAAAACCTATTTAAAGATTTGAAGCAGAAAAGTAAGTGAGCACTAACCTACAGCTTATGAAAAAGTAGAGATTTCTGCCTCATACATTTTTAACAGTGTTGAGAGCGACCTTCACTCTGCGCTTCATTTTTCACCCCAATACAACAAAGACGAGATGACCGCCGGGCAAAATGAGACAGAAATTTCTCCCACCTCCACCACTTTACCTAACATGGATAAACTGTAATTTGGCAGTGACCTGGATCTCACTGACTACTGCACACAAATAATCTGTGGCAGAGCAATAAAGCTGCCAACCTACACAGAAATAGTGATCACATATCTGCATTACTTGAGTAATTAAGTGCACATAATTTCCTATTTTGCCTTTAATGTAGTTGATCAGCCAGTGAATGTTTGATGTCTGAAGCTCTTTAGTTTTGCACTGGAGAAGCTAGCTACGGCTAGGCTAATGTAGCTAACAAGAAATGGAATCTTCTACCAATTACACTCTTAAAAAGATGGTGTTTCAAGAGTTCTTTAGTAAGGAAAATGGTTTTATATATGAACACTCAAAGAACCCTTTGCATTATTAAAGGGTTCTTTGCATCTCAAATGGGTTCTTCAGGTTGATGGAGAATGTGCTGTAGATGGTTCTATATAGAACCTTTCTGAAAATGGTTCTATGTAGCACCCAAAAAGGTTTTTCCTTTGTAACAAGCCTGACATCGTAACAATAGAAGAACCCTTTTGGGTGATAGCATCTGCCCGAAAATGTGTGATGATCTAAGGACAGCATTGTCAATCCCTTTTAAAGACTAACCAGAGTCCTACACACTTAAAAAGATGGTTCTTCAAGGGTTCTTTAGTCAAAAAAATGGTTTTATATAGAACATCGAACACTCAAAAAACTTTTGCATGATTAAAGGATTCTTTGCATCACAAAAGTGTTCTTCAGATTGATGGAGAATGTACTGTAGATGGTTCTATATAGAACATTTCTGAAAGTGGTTCTATGTAGCACCCAAAAAGGTTTTTCCTTTGTAACAAGCCTGACATCGTAACAATAGAAGGACGCTTTTGGGTAATAGCATCTATCTGATCCAAGGACAGCATTGTCAGTCCCTTTTAAACACTAGTCAGAGTCCTACACATTTAAAAAAGATGTTTTTCAAGGGTTCTTTGGTAAAGAAAATGATTCTGTATAGAACTATTAGCACTTAAAGAACCCTTTGTATAATTAAATGGTTCTTTGCATCACAAAAGTGTTCTTCAGATTGACGGTGAATGTGCTGTAGATGGTTTTATATAGACCTTTTTGAAAAGGGTTCTATGTAGCACCCAAGATGGTTCTTCTATTGTAACAAGCTTGACATCGTAACAATAGAAGAACCCTTTTTGGTGCTATATAGAAGCATTGCAGCATTGAAAGTGTAGCATTGTGTAAACTTTATGACTAAGTCATCACACACTTATTGTCTATAAACATAGATGCATAGCTAAAAATGGAGCAGTGACCATCTCTGAGATAAAAGTGTCATAGATAACAGTGTGTCAGTGTCAGAAAACCACATAAGCAAGTGTATTAGCGATTACTGAGCAACTCCACACAGTCTGAAGCGATCATGTGATAATTTAGGCCATCAGTTAGCATGACGCTACTTTTTTTTACATATGATTCAATCAGTTTTTACAGCAAAAAGAAGAAATGTCTGAAAATGCTCCTTATGTTAATATGTTAAGGCTTCCAATTTCAGTGAGAGCATTTATTAGAGCATTCAACATTATAATAGTGTAATATTTTATAACGATGTGCTAGCCACAAGCTAAAATGTTATCCCTGAGCTAATATACTGTCGTAATATAAGAAGTGTCTGCTCTTGATTTTCAGGTAAATAGGAGGGTGTGCCCTCATTGTGGGCTTGTTTGTTTAATTATTAGTACACACTATTGTTTAATTCATATTATATTGAACGGCACAATGCAATAGATTGCACAATATATACAGTATAATGCATTAGCCTCGTAGCTCCAGGGCAAAACTAAAGATACCAACTTCAGACACTAAACCGGTCTTGGCTGATGGACTATAAGAGGGAAATTATGTACATAGTTGGACAAACGATCCCCTTAAGCTTCATGTGTCAAACACAATCCTATCCAGCCCACAAAAGTATTTTAATGTTCTGTTAATATTAGCCTGTTTCACAATGCGCTCCACTACAGTTCCCAGCATGCACAGCAACGTAGTGTGCGCTCTGACTCTTCCACCCCAACAACAGTCTATGGGACAGTGGTTACACCTCAAATCTACACAATTCTACACAATTCCACACCAGTCAGATCAACAAACACACTAACTGCATTTCAGCTGCAGTTCAACCAATATAAACACTTAACATCAGCTCAGCAGCTCAGAAACTGAGCGCAAGAATGGATGAACTTGCAGCAAAGACAGGACGGCAGGTGTCTAGATCAAGAGATAGGTAGGTTTAAAAGACCGAGCCCCTGGGGAGGTTTAAATTTAGAATATTTCAAGTATTCATATGATATTTCAAGATCTATTCTAAGTGCCTATAATTTTACTGCTGAAGTTTTTTGCGTATTTTGAATAAACAATGGCTAGTTTGGGTTATGCTTAAAGCCAGGACAAGCCTATCATGCATTTTTGATGCAGACTACACTGGCATTGCTATGAGACGGACACTAGAGGGCGACTCGGCGATCTCTCTCTGAGGAGGTCTCCACAGGAGGCCGGAGTGAAAACGGGTGAAACAGCAGGGGGTGTCGGATTAGCAGCTCGCGGACCAGCAACTGTCCATCAGAAACCGTCTCCAAAGTCATAAGCAGGGAGTCGCAGTGCTGCACGCGTCCACAGCCGTGCTGGTTTTACTGTTCCAAACAGTGCTGGGCTGCAGTCAGACACATGGGCGTGTGTGAGGAATACAAATGATAGTGTAAGTAGGCTATGAGGGCTGGCACGGTGCGTGTAGTGAGTTTGGCATGCTGTAGTGCTGTAGGGCTCCCATACAGATAAGGCTGCACAGCGTCCAAACCCCAGAGTGGAGAGTGTGGAGCAGGGATTTGGAGTTTTTAGTGCAGTGCTGGTCAGAAGTGAGCCAACAGCTGGAAAAGAACACTGAATATGACCTTGAGGCAGGATTGATCCATAGCTGGAGCTGCTTGTGCTTCTCTCTGTTCCCACGGTTTCTTCTGTTATCAATTAATGTGGCTAGGGGGGGCAGTAAATGCTTTAGAAGTGTGTGTATAGAATGGGGGGAGGGGGCTCTCACTTAGAAGCCCCTCTAAGATTTCTGTGTAAAAAAGGCAAAGTTGCTAAGTTGTTGCATCTTCGTTCCTTTTTTCCACCTTAAATGAATAAATACTGTCCTTAGATCAACATTTTTGGGTGGGTACTATCACAATGGTGGGTATATGTCACAATAGAAGAACCCTTTTTAAAAAGGTTCTATATAGCATCATCTACAGCACATTCTCCATTAATCAGAAGAACCCTTTCATGATTAAAGGAATGCAATGGTGCATTGTGTTTAATATCCAAAAATGTTTCCTTCTGATTCTGTTAATAGGCGACGGTGTTGGCTGGGCATGTAAAGTTTCAGGGCTCGGCCCAGTTGTGTATAGGACAGTTTTGGGTTGTCCCCCCCCAGACTTCTTTAATTATAGTGTAAAATGTGCAGTGTTATTTTTTTTATTTAAAGGGAGGCTCTACATCAGGAATTTAGCATTATTGATTGGTGCGTCTTGTAAACAAAAGCATATAACACAAGAGAAAAGAAGAGAGAAAGATATTCCTGCGGCTGTTGGAGCTCTGAGGACTCTATGGCGCATGCGCATGTCTCCCTCAGTCTCCAGTATGGTTTAACACTGTTCGGGGCTGTTGGCCTCAAAGGCCCAGGCAAAGCTCCTGGGAACTGAGTGGGTAAGTTTCTAATAACTTATGTACAGTGACGCTAGGTTGGTGGTGATGGTCATCATCACCATAGCGATTTCTCTAGAACTGTGTGTGTGTATGAGTGTGCATGTGCCTCTGTGTGTGTGTGGGTGCCTGTGAGTGTGTTCGTTTAAATGTGCAAGTGCCTGTGTGTGTGTGTGTGTGTGTGTGTGTGTGTGTGTTTGAGTGTGCAGGTGCCTATCTGTGTGTGTGTGCAGATACCTGTGTGTGTGTTTGAGTGTGCAGGTGCCTGTCTGTGTCTGTGTATCTGTGTGTGTGTGTGTTTGAGTGTGCAGGTGCCTGTCTGTGTGTGTGTGTGTGTGTTTGAGTGTGCAGGTGCCTATCTGTGTGTGTGTGTGAGTGTGCAGATACCTGTGTGTGTGTTTGAGTGTGCAGGTGCCTGCGTGTGTGTGTACGCACATGTGTGTTTGAGTGTGCAGGTGCCTGTGTGTGTGTGTACGCACATGTGTGTTTGAGTGTGCAGGTGCCTGTCTCAGTGAGGAGGTGTGTATGTGTGTGTGTGTGTGTGTGTGTGTGTGTGTGTGTGTGTGTGTGGGTAAGCAAGTGTGTGAGTGTGTGTGTTCGGTGGCAGTGAGGAGTGTAAAACTCTTCCTTTTATTCACTTTCTCATTTTGCGCACAGCCAACTCCCGTCACCATGGCAACCGGTTCATTAGAGGAGCAAGCTGCAGGTTACCATAGAAACATCTCAGCAGTCCCTCAGAGACCGAGCACCACAGTACACTGTATGTGTGTGTACATACATGTGTGTGCGTGTATATACAAGTGTGCATGCAGGCAGGAGTGTGTGTGTGCATGCATGAACTGTGTGTGTGCAGCATGCAGTCAGAAACACACACACACACAATGTGTGTGTGTGGGGGGGGGGTTGTTAGTTTTAAAAGGAGCAGCAGATGATTACAAAATTATAATGTAACTTATTGTAAGATATAGTGTATTGAAATGTAAGAAACACAGT